CACAATGTGATCCCTAGATCCCTAAAGGGATTTAAATCAACATATATTATGTTTTTAATACATAATATATGTTCAAATAATACATAATATATGTTTTTTTTATTTAATTCTTAAGAGTATTATTCATCACTCCTATATTCTGATTTTTGTTAAATCTCATATTTAGCAATTCCATAGTTTCTTTCATTGCTTTCTCTTTACCTTGATTAATGAGTGACTCTTTAGTCTGTTCATCTATATCATTCTTAGATTTTGTTCTAATTTGTTCAGTCATATCTTGAAACTTTTCAAGTTCTGAAAGTATCATATTAAATTCTGCATCATCAATATATTGATCTGATATAGCTTTAGAAATAAGACTACTTATTGTATTTAGTTTTGCATCAGCTAGTACTTTAATCTTTTCATGCTTTTCTGCTTTTATTGTTAATTTTTTAATAGCTTGTGATCCTATTAATGATAATACACCCATACCTAATGCTGCACCTTCACATGCAATAGCTACTGGTGTACCAACTATTGTTGTTAAAAAACCAATACCAACAGCTCCAAGTGTCATAGTGCTTGCTAGTAATGTATTATCAACTGCTGAAATGATTCTTACAGCTCTATGATATTTTTTACTTAAAATCTCTCTTCTAATTCTTTCACATTCTATTTTATCTTGAATTTCACTAATCTTTTGTAATCTAAAGTTATGATCTATAGATTGTGGTGGTGCAGATGGATTTTCTGAAAACTGGTTAAGATCTGGATAAAGCTGCTTACATTCATTATTATATCCATTATTACATAGCATTTTCTTTTTTCTATAAAGAAAAATTTGTTTTAAATCACTTTTGCGATCAATGCTTCGCTAAATCACTTTTTACCAAAATTAAATATATCTTCATCAGATTTATCTATACTAGGTTTATCTTTAATTACTTCTTCTATACTTGATAATAAAGATTTTACAGATTCTTTATTACTTTTCTGTTTAGTTCCTGAGTCATTTTGTTGTCTAATTTGTTCTTCTTTAACATGTTCTAAAGCATCTCTATGTGATATATAATTTGCATTTAAAACACCATTATAAGTTGATATACAACATAACAAATCTCCTTTTTTAATGTTTATATCTTTTTTATCGTTATTATATACAGTTATTTTAATATCGTCAGTAGACTCTGTTACAATAGAATTTAGTAAATTTAGTTCTGGTTTATAATTTTCTGCAATTGAAATCACTATATGTCCTTTATTTATTTCAACACCACACATTAAAGAAATGTTATTATATGAATTTGATTTTACTGTAAAATCTTCTTGTGCGAATACTTTAATATGTCTATCATTTATTGCTCTATGTTCTAAATCTGAATTAATATTAAAAGTTATTCTATATTGTTCATGCTTTTCATAATATAAAAACATTCTACTATTATACATTTTATAAATGTAAAGATTTTTTTTAAATCACTCTTTAATCCTCATATCTATTTTGTTTTTAAAGTTCTAACAATATAATTTAAAATACTTTCACCTTGATGTAAAAAATTACACTTTTTATCATTAACATTTTTATATATTAATATTTTTTCTCCTTTTTTATTTTTCTTTAATTTACTCTCTACTAATTTACATGGAGTATAATGACAAATTTCTACATTTTCTTCAATTTCTTTAAAAGAATGAGCATATTTGCAATTTATATTTTTACATTCTTTTTTATCAAGAATATATTTACATAATTTAGTTTTAGCTTTTCTTAATTTAGATAATTCTGACTTTTTTGGATGAAATAAAACACACTCTTTATTCTTACATTTAGGGTATTCAGAACATAGAGATAAATGTCTATATTGACATGAAGATTTAGTACATATCAGTCTTTCCTTTACAGTATTACAATAAGGAATATCATGATTGTATTTACATTTTCTTCCAAAAGGACAATAATTATCATTTAAAATATTTTTACAAAAAATGGGTAGTTTCTCTACAAAATGAATTGTTGAAGGTTTTCCATTTTCAGTAAAATTAATATCAACATTAAATGGTTTTTCAAAACTAAATTTTCTTTTTTTGTAATGTTTTTTTGTTAAGAAACTATCTATAGCAGGATAATCATCATTAATAACATTATAAGTTGGAACATAATTAATCCATTTCAGCTTATCTTTATGCAGTTCCATGATTTGAACTGTTTTTAAAGGAATTGGAACTATAGGTTTTTCTTTAACTTCATCTTCATCATCAGATGTAAAATAAGTAGCTTCATCAGATGTATAATAAGTGTCATCTTCAGAATCTGATTCTTCAAATTCAAATTTTAATAATTCTTCAAAAAGTTTAAATTCTTTTTGAAATTCAGATATTTCATTAATTTCATCATTCATTTTTATTTTTTATTATTTGTAAAAATATTTTAAATCAAAAAAAATTGAAAATGAATTAAATAATTTTCTTTTATATATAAAAAGAATGGAAAACGAAATGCAAAATTCATTTTTAAAATCAATTGAACAAAGATTAAGATTAATAGAAGAAAAATTAAATATTATTAGTACTCATGATATTGAAATGACTGAAGATTCTGAAGTTACTACAGTTACTACTACTGAAGTTACTGAAATTACAGAAACTACTGAATATGTTAATGAAGATGATGAAGATGAAGAAGAAGATGATGAAGAAGATGAAGAAGAAGATGATGAAGATAATGATGATATTAAAAAAATATTAGGGTATAAAGGAATAAATGATGCAATTGATAAAGCTGCAGAAAATGGTAACTTTGAACAAGTAAAATACTTGCATGAATTAGGGTATAAAGGAACAAGTTATGCAATGGATAAAGCTGCAGAAAATGGACACTTTGAAGTAGTAAAATATTTACATGAATTAGGGTATAATTGTGGCAAACACACAATTAATTCTACTGTAGAAAATGAACACTTTGAAATGTTAAAATATTTACATGAATTAGGGTATAAAGGTAATAAATATTCGACATTTGATTTAGCTGTTAAAAGTGGACACCTTGAAGTAGTAAAATACTTGCATGAATTAGGGTATGAAAATGAATATTTGGCATTTAATTTAGCTGTTGAAAGTGGAAATCTTGAAGTAATTAAATATTTACATGAATTAGGGTATAAAGGTGATAAATGGGTAACTAATTATGCTGTTAAACATAGAAATATTGAAATTTTTAAATATTTACATGAATTAGGGTATGAATGTGACAATTGTACAATTAATTGTGTTGCTAAAAATGGTCACCTTGAAATATTAAAATATATACATGAATTAGGGTATAAAGGAAATGAAAATGTAATTTTTTGTGCTGTTGAAAGTGGAAATCTTGAAGTAATTAAATATTTACATGAATTAGGGTATAAAGGAAATGAATGTGCATTTAATTGTGCAGTAAATAAACAGATAAGATCACCATCAGATAGTAACCTTGAAATTATTAAATATTTACATGAATTAGGGTATAAAGGTACAGAATCGTTTTTTAATTCAGCTGTTAAAAATGGATATATTTAAATTTTGATACATGTAGTGACTATAAATTCTAGTAGTGATAAAGTTATGCAATGCTCCTACACATAAACAAAATCTAAAATAAATTCCAGCGCATGCGCACAGATCTGAAAGATCAGTTAGCGCACAAGAGCAATCTGCGATAGCAAGAAAAAAAATTGAAAATAAATTTCTTTACATAAATTATAATAAATGGATTTTACAATTAAAGATATTAAATTAGGAAGTTATAAAAGAAGAATAAGTTTAGCTCGTTATTTGCAAAATAAAATTAAATTACATGCTGAAAAGTTAGAAAATGAAAGATTAGAAGAAGAAAAGTTAAAAACACCAGATCAAATTTATTATTGAAGAAAAGTCACGTGACGTCATTTTAAGAATTTTTCGTAACATTTCATAACAAGAAATAAAAATTAACACTTATTTTAAAAAATCAATTTTTTAAAATAAAAAATTATTTCTTGTTGAAATAATTTATACACAATATGGCTCAATGTTAACCCAATATTAATATTAATTTATGGTTGAAAATTTGGTTGAAAATAAAAATGAGCAAGAATCGGCAATCTCCTACTACTTTCAATAAACGTTATGCGTAAAACGAGACTTGTTTTATACGGACTTCTAAAGAAGGTGCATGAAATCCACGTCCGCCTTAAGTTCGATAAATCAAATTTAATATTTAATAAGAGTTTTATTTGCTTTTTTTAGTAATTTCTTAACAAAATAGTATATATTTGAAATTACAGTTTTATAAGCAATTTTTAAGCATGTACTCAAGGCCGGCGCGATAGGGGTGTGTGGAGGGGTGTGACACCCCCCCCCCCCCCCCATCAATGGTTTTTAGACGGCAAACTGGACCCTTAGTCGGAAAATTGGACCCTTTTAGACTAGTTAGTCTGCAAATGTCGACCCTTTCAATATAGGTTAGACAGTCGGCAAATGCCGTCATGGCAGTCGGCAAAAGTTGTAATGGCACCCCCCCCCTCCCCCACGTGACACCTACTCGCGCCGGCCCTGCATGTACCCTTCATATTTTAAGTGCGTTTTTAGTGTATTTCTAATTTTGCATCAAAAAAATATAAAAAATGTGGGTTCTGGAAGAATTTTTAGTGATGAAGATGAGTTCTAACGTACAAAAAGAAGAAGATGATCCAAAAGTAATAGAAAAACTAACTTTAAGTGCTAAGATTAATTCATGATGCCAGAGTTTTTTTAAACACAAGACAATCATTATTTAACTTCAGCCTCACTTATTTAATATTATTGTAGTCATTATACTAATAAAACAATGCTTTGGATCTATTTTATTAATAAATTTTTTATATTACAGCCAACTCATTTTCCAAACAAACATTGCTTTTGACCAAGTAAGCCTAAAACTGCCTCAAATTAGTAAATTGATTAATTAGTTAAATATTTATTATAAATTATGTTTCTTAGATATATTTCTTTGTTATCTTTAGATGTCTAAAACTATAGCTGTCTTTGGTGCAACAGGAAACCAAGGAGGCTCAGTGCTTCGTTCGTTAGTAGAAAGAGATTGTTATCATTTGAAAGCAGTAACTAGAAATATTAACTCACAAAAAGCAAAAGACTTTTCCCACCTTAAAAATGTCACATTAGCAGAAGCTGATTTAGACAATAAAGAAAGCGTTGATATTGTTTTAAAAGGTTGCTATGGTGCTTTTCTTGTCACTGATTTTACTTCTCATTTTGTAAAAAATAGAGAGGTTGAACAGGGTGTTAACTTCATTGATAAAGCTATAGCAAACAATGTTAAACATATAGTTTTTAGTGGTTTGGAAAATATAGAGTCTCAAATTCACGAACCTTGTTTACATTTTGACTATAAAGCAGCCATTGAAGACTATGGTATAAAACAAAAGGATAAAATTCACTTTACTTCGGTTCGAATGCCTATGTACTATCAAGAAGTTGTTGGAAGCGTTTTTAATAAGGCATTTGGAAATAGATTTTTACTAAATATACCTATGGACAAAGAAAAAATAGTTTATCTAATGAATGTTGATGATATTGGTAATTGTGTTGCAAGTGTATTTGATCACCCTGAACTGTACAAATCACAAATCATTGAACTTTGTGGAGATTACATGAAAGTCCAAGATTTAGTAATACTTTTGAACCAGGAGTTGTCACCCCTTAAAGTTTACTTTCCAGGAGGTTCATTTAACAGATTTCTCTTTAAGTATATATTAAAATTTCCAGGTGTTAATGATATTCGAGTAATGTTTGATTATTTCAATTATTTCAATCATCAAATCAAGCGTGATTCTGATATAACAAAAAAGCTTAATCCTGATGTTGTCAATTTTTCTACTTGGCTTAAAAAAAATCGTACTCAAATTATTTCTAACAAAACTGCATAATTCTTTACATGCATGAGTATATATATATATATATATATATATATATATATATATATATATATATATATATATATACTCATGAGCGCAGTAAAAGTTTTGATTTTTAATGATTTGGCACTACCGTATTCCGTAAAAACATCTGGCAACCCTATGTAACGCTGACATTTTTTGATATAAGAATAAATAAGAATAAATAATGTTTATTTATAACAATAAAAAATAGAATTTTTATATATTTATGTTTGTGAAATACACTTTTGTATACATTTTTTACTATTGACACATCAGTATTTAATAACTTATTATATATTTTAAAGTGACTATCCTTTGGGAATAATTTTCGTTGATAAGGGGTCGTCTACAACTTACGTCGCGCATTTTTTGACCATTTTTTACCCCCTTCCTTGCTGCCCCCTTCCCCGCCCCCTCGTCACAATATTGTTATTCTTTAGAAGCAAGTTCCGTATTAGCTGTCGCAAAACCTTAACCCCTATCCCCTAAATATATATATATTTTAAAGAGACTATATTGGGAATAATTTTCTTTTGTTGATAAGGGATCGTCCACAACTTACGTCACGCATTTTTCGACCATTTTTACCCCCTTCCTCGCCGCCCCCTTCCCCGCCCCTTTTCTAAAGTGAAGAACTAATTCATAAATATTATTAATATTCTGTTAATATAAACTATACATAATTTTCAACTCATTGGCCTCAGAGCTGAACACTAACATGTTAGAGGTTTTGCTACACACCCAAATAAATTTGCAAAGCATCTCGTAAAATATTTTAAGCATTTTATGGTTATGGCTATATAAAATACAGAATTTAAATTTATACAATAAATATATGTATGTAAATTCTGTAATAATACAGATTCGGCGATTATTATGACAAAACAGTTAATTTTTGTAAGGTTCTTATATATCTAAATTAACTTACTTCATTAAGTTTTTTTGACTTAAGAATTTCACAAAAGAAAATTATTTCTATTCAAAATTACATTAATAATCAAGTTAGAGCTTACATTTAGCTATTGTTCTACCGAAACCAAAGTTTCAGGTATACTATTTTGTCGGGTGAGCGGGAAAACTCGGTAAACAGGGAAAAAGGTAACGATAAAAAAAACATGAGAAATGTGCACTTTAATAGTTTTCTTCCATGTCAAAATGTCATTTTGTGAAAAAAAGTTTTAATTATGTTCGATGCTTAATATTATATAATGTAACAAATACAAATATAATACTTATCAGTATTATATTTATGAACTATATAATTGCCAAAGTCTAATGAACAAATACTTATCAGTATTACATTTGGTACATTTGGTCAGTTTTTGTATAATAACAAGTTTTTTAGTAGTATATAATATATAATTTTTTTTATAATATTTTGTCTTTATGGGTTATGCTAAACTACATGTTATTATAGATATAAAAAAAAGTTAAAATATAAAAGGAAAAGAATCCAGAAACGAAGGGCTATCTCTATGCTAAGATACTATTACATTTCATTAACTGCCTATAAAGTAAAGTAAAGAATCCAGAAATGGGTTAACTTTAGGCAACATGACAGCTTACAGATGGAGTGCAAAGTCCTAAGGCTTACCTTCTCGTTGGTGCACTTTGCTAGGTAAGTTAGATAAGCGTTAACATCTAACTTATGAACAAAATAGCCAAGGCAAACTTTGTTAAAACATTTTTGAAAACAAAAAAATGTAAAAACAAGTATTGTATGTCAGTAAGAATAATAATTAAAAAAAATAGTACAGAAAAAAGAATAAAAAAATAAAAAGAAATTGTACATTTACAAAAAATAAAATTATAAGGAAATATTCTTTTATTGAAAAGTTATTCTTTAAAAGGTACTAAGTAAGTTTTTCCTGCCGTACGACGATTTCAATACCGAAATCTATATTTCGGCAAACATTTTTCCAAAACTAATACTAAAATTTCGGTTAAACAAAACTAATTTCATTAGAAAATGTTAGGCTAAAATACCCAGTGTTCGCCATGCGACCTAGTCTTTGCCACTTGGTCACTAAAAAACATGCAGAGCTAAAACTATTTGCTGGAAAGTTTCAAAATTGCATTTTAAAAAAACTCTGTTTTTTAAAATGCAATTTCTTTAAAATGTTCTCTATATAATTGATTTTTTTTTTAAATATTCTCTTTATAATTGACGAAAATTTGACGATCGTAGCTTTAAAAATAAAGGCACGTCGTTTATTGCAAAAAAAACTTTGCCCAAAAATCCTTAATGCCTAATGACAAATTTTCGATAAGCTTTTGGATAATCACCAAAAAAATATAGGTATTTATAATTTTATGGCATTTTTTTTTTCTCAAACTGTTATTAAGATGCTTGAGTATCTTGTAAACAAATAATTAGTAGATGAATTTGAAAAAGGGTGGGCGTTGGATAAGGTAAGGGTTTTGGTGGCGATTACTAGCCCTTTGCTAGTAATCGCCACCAAAAAAAATATCAAAATTTTTTTTTTCTTTATAGTAAAATATGAATACTTCCACACTTGTCGGTATGAGCATGGATTAATTTTATTTAAAAACAAACGTGTAATAAGCAGTTAAATATTTTCCAGTCTTCGCAAAACTCACTTTCTAGAAATCGCTACATTTGATAATTTATAATTTTACTGAATAGAAACCTTTTTGTATTTTGCAGAACATATAAGAATAATTATATTTTAATTTAAATACTTATTATTTAATTTTATTTTAATATTGAACTTAGTAATATATATAGTCATAAAAATAAATTTTCTTTATCGTACAATTATAAACTTACCTTCAGTTGCGCAAGAGCTTCAATCAGCATACGTTGTGATATCCGATCAAGTTGTATTTCTTCTGGCAGAAATAAAAAAGAAAAAGAAAGTCCAAGAGCAAGCAAAAGTTGAAAGAATAAACAAACGCTTGAAAATCAAAACCCCCAGTAAAAAAAAAAAAAGTTGTATATACTAAGCCAATACAAACAAAAGAAGAAAGTCTAAAACAGCATCTTATTCAGGTAAGAACAATTTCAAAGTGACTACCCTATGGTCCAGCTGTTGTTCTATTAAATTAATAAAAAGTACATAAAATATTTCCACATTTTATTTATTAATGTCATTTTCTCTCTTTTTTTTTAGATTGCACGCAATGATATGACCGGGGATTTCGAGTTTAATTTGTAACTAAAGTCAAAAAAAAAAAACCCTATAACTATTTTATTAATAGTTTTTGTTTTTTCTCGGGGGATTATTTCGGGGGATGTTTTCCGAGGGGATTTTTTCCTGCTAAATTTAGGCGTTTTGAAAAACGGCTGCAGTATTCTAACGAATCACGAATCATAATTATTATTATTAATATTACGCTATTAACAAAACTCATAATTAAAAAATGAAATTTAAGACACTTTTTGTTGAAACAATACTACTATATTTACCGCATGAAAAAAAATAAAAATAGTTCGTTATTTTTTCAATTTAATTAACTTAAACTTTTAACGATATAAAATTCAAACTTTTTAAATTTAATTTACAGAAAATACTTAGTACAGGTAGAGTTCCCTTAAAAACTACGCAAATTTTGAAAATGGAGTACATCCGTTACAGGTCAACTATTTGAATTTTTTTTTTGTGATTTGGAAACACTTATTTTAGGGTTTTTCTTCCCCGGAAGTCGTTATCCTTGTTTTGCCATATTTAGTGAGAATTAGCAAAGTGAATTTTCTGATTTTTTTGAAGATTCCCCTTAAAAACTACAAGGAACATAATTGTATTTTTATGGATGAAAAATTTCTGAAAGTTCTAAATTTTTTTCTTATTATATCAGAAATTAGTGTAGTATGACATATAAGGAGGCTTGCTAACTTAGTCTAATAAAAAATAGCATTTTAGCTAGTTAAGTCCGTTAAAAACTACACGATTTCCCCCTTAAATACTACATTACATTAGGTAAAATATGCCTCCACAAGCTCACTTAGAATAGCCAGGAATGGAAAGAATGTTTATACAGATCTTCTTTAACTGAGAAATGGTAAAATGGTTATAAATGGTACCTTTCTGTTCATTTTGTGCTCATAATCTCTAATCAAGTATGTATATTCTTTATTTTTAGTGTTTAAATAAAATAATAGTATGGGAAAACCGCAATTTAATTTTAAGATTTCTGCTGGTAGAAAAAGAGGTAGAATAAAGACAAAGCCAGAAACTCGAGCTGAAGTAACTGTTTACAGAAAAGGCATAAGAGCTAAAAAAAATCAAATAGCAGAGGCAGTAGATTGGACACAGAAAATAATAAACGAGGACAGGCAACATTAAAAACAGGAAAGTTTCCTTTAATTAAAGATCGTGGTACAATAGACAGAAGATTAGATGGCAAAGTTAAGAGTGTAAAAAAGGAACATTTGAGAGTGTTACATCCAGATGATGAGAAGGAAATAGTTTGTTTTATCAAAAACAAAAACAGAGCCCACCAGGGACTCTCTAAGAAGGAAGTTTCTGAAATTATTTTGGATGTTCTGAAAATCAGAGATCATTTGAACAAAAATAGAAAAGGTGGAAGAAAGTTTATAAAATTATCACCAAGTGCAAAAACAGCCCTATGAAATAGAAGGTAACTTTTTTCTTTAAACTACTTTATCAACATTCAAACAAGGGTACAATAGATATTAAATAGATGTAAAATACTGAACCTTACTTTCCAAACTATTTAGACTCGGGAAATCATTTTGGAGAAGATGGCATGCTGAATTCAAATGAACAGAACCCTAAATTTTACTAGGGAGATGGCTACAGATCATCTAGGTACACATTTTTTATCACATATTGTTTTTTTAGTTTAGCTTGAATATAAAAAGATTTTCAATTTCATTCTTAAGTGTTCTACAACTTGGTTTTTATTCTTGAATAAGTTTATATGTTTTGTACGTTGATAATTTATGTAACTTGATTATATTACTAATTTTTACAACTTTTTTTATTCGAGATGCGTTAGCTGATGAACTGATTGCTTGTAGTATAATGAAGAACTATAAAAAAACAAAAAAATGGTGTATCGGTTGGTGATATTGCAACAGAAAGCGTTTTCAATCGTGATGAAACACCACAGTTTGTCAACTACGGTGTAGATGGTACTGCCACTGGGTCAGTTTATGCTGGCAAAGGAGAGACATGAAAAAAAATGATTCGCAAAAACAGAGAGTGCATAAATATAAACCCATTTATTTCATTATTAGGTGAGCCGATAAAACAACTTTTTACAACTAAAGTTGTGGCTTTTA